AATTGCTTAAAACTATTAAGATATTCAAACCGAATTTTTTTTCATCAGTAACCAAATACCAGATTTCTACAAAATGATAGGAAAAAAAAAATTTTTTTAAATTTTTTTCTGCACATATGCAGTATAAAACAACTACTTCAATACATATTGCACAATTTCAACAAATGTTTTTTAAATTTTAAAGCAAACATTTTGTAATCAATTTTAAATTGCTCTGAACATTTTATTGAGTATTTTAAAGTTATAGTAAAAAAGCATAATACAAAGAAATTATAATTTTTTTAATAAATTATCCATATTTCCAAAAATATTTAAGTTAGGCTTGTGAAGTTTTGGGCAATCATTGCATATAAGAACCAAAATAATTGTTACAAGTTACAAATTTATTTAAAAATTTTTTGGCATATGATGCTCAAAAACACTATTTTCCATTTGTAATTTATTGTCGGTCTCTTGAACCTCTAAATGCTTTGAATTTTATTGATAAGTGTGAGAAATCACAAGATCTAAACCCTTTTGAAGTTATATAATTATTCTTGGAATATTTCTTGAGAAACCGAAAAAAATATATTAGTGTAGAAATGTTTCCATTATTTTGATTTGTTTGATTTATTTATTTGATTTATTGAATAGTTTTTGTCTAATTTAGCATTTAACATTTATTCTAACTTTAATCAAAATTTGTATCTCAGTTTTTCTTAACATACATATTTTAATTATGAAGGGTTATGCTAAAAATCTTGAGTTAAGGAATTTTTTTTTGTCACCAAAAGAGAAGATGAACTTATAGCAAATAATGGAATATTTTAATAATCACATCTTAGCATAAAGGCAATATTAAATACAGTTTCATACAATGGACTTAATGGAACTAAAGAGTATCTATGAACTCAGATTATAATATACTCAAAACTTTCAAATATCAGAAGATTTCAACAAATTCTAATTCACAATAATGCAAAGATAAATCGGACACTACAACGTCACAATACTAATAAATATATTGGCACCTTGCTTATTAGATGTTTCATAAAAGTAAATATCAAAATTTCAACAACTCTCAGATATTTATCTTATCCATAGCTGAGAAATGTGTAGCTGTCTTGTTCAAGTTGGTAGTTAATATCAGGAAAAATAAAAGTTATTTTGCAATGAGCTGAAATATTATGATTAAAGTATACACAATTTATACATTTATATACCAATGTAAGATTTAACATTAAAATTGCAACATTGCTTAGTTCCAGATAAAAAAAAAATATATTTTAGAAATTGCTGAATAAGAACCTGATAATATAATCATAAAAGACAGTCAAACCCATTTAACTTTAAAAAAAAGGTTGAAAATTTAAAACTAGTCTATGAAAAATTTATTAATGAGAAATATGAATTAAAAATTGCGAGATTATTAAATATGTATAAGTTTAATATGCTATTTTCAAAACATTTTATAACACTCAGAAAAAAACTAAATTTTCACACATTTCCATGCTTAGTTATCTAGATTTTTGTAAAAGAAGGCATACATTTTATGAATTTTTCAGTTTGTCTTATTCTTATACTTAAAATTTATTGCAAAACACTCATATTTGTTATCAGAGTTGAAAATAACTTTTTTCTTTTTTTATAAAAAATAATTATTACAAGACCGATTTTCTTTGGGGGAAAAATATTGGACTTTCTGGTACCTCAAATTTAAATTAAGCATTTTCTCTGACCCTTGATATTCCCCTAATTTTTACAGATTGATAAATTTCCCTAACTTTTCCCTGTTCTGTGCCTACCCTAAATATTTGAAAACATTTCTGAAAAATTATAATATAATGAACAAAAGTGTATATATATGTATACACACACAATGGAAAGTCCTGCATCTGAAATTGGCAACACTTAAGCAAGTTTGGACAATAGATTCCCAACAAAAACTAAGGTCTGAGTTCAAAACAAGTTTTGTACAATGAAAAAAAAAATATAATGTCAGAGGTTTTAGTAGTTCTATTCCTCACTTTCTGGTGATTAGTGGATTCAATGCATAAATCACCAGAAGCTAGAATTAGAGAACATATGTCAAATGACACTTGGTTCTCTCAAAACAGCAAGTACTTAAAAAAATAAAATTTTTATCTTTCTTCATTTTTTAAGGAAAAGGGGAAGATGTTTGCTCATTTTGATTGTTAAAGAATATCCCAGAAATATACATTTCCGAGAAAGTATTGCCTAATTAATTCTCTTCTTCAATCATATATATTTTGTGTGTTCACTTTTTAAAATAATCAATATGACAACAGGAAAGTCAAGCTCAGCTAAGTATAGTTTTCAAAATAAAAGGATGATATTAGAGAACAATTTCATGCATATATTTAATAACAGTAGCTGCCACTAAAAGAATCAGCTCCCTTTTAACACATTCATTAAAGCCTACTAAATCTATCATTAAAATGTGGTAATCTGTAAAAATAAAATCAAAGTGAGTTTTTGTATTTTAACAACTACTTTAGTTTTAAAATTTTACTGTCAGCTTATTTTAATAAACAATATGTTATTGAAAAGAAATAATTATTCTCAATAATAATTCCTATTTCATTCCATGAGACAGTCTTTTGATGTTTTTATGAATATTCTTTAGCTAATCAAAATCTGAGCTCTATTGACAGCAAAAATCTCAAAATAACATACACCATATGTCTCGGTACATAAATTGACCAGTTGTATAAGTCAAATATTCTGTTACTATCTTGTAATCAAACTTCTGCTTTTGATTACAAGATAGTAAATTTCTGGTATGTTTGGTGTATAAGTAAGCCGTTCCAAAAGAAAGGACTAAAAAAAAAAAAAGAAAAAAAAAGAGAGAGAACATTTTCATTTAATTGTTAAAACTTTTTGAAACCTTTGGATAGGGTGAAGTCATTGAAGAATATTTTTTGAGGTACTTAGCCAGTGAGGATAAAGTAGAATCCATTGCAGAGTGGAATCTTTATGAAGGCATAGCTTACATCATGGAATCTGACACTGATGATGTTTTGAAAGTTTTCATTGTGCTGTATTTTGCTAAAATAATTTATTCAAAAGTATTTCACCTTTATTTTTAATGCAATTAAAAGTATTGTTTCTAAAAAAAAAAAACCTTTATGTGCAAAGAAATTATCAGAGAAAATGTAAAATTAACTGTATGTATATATATATATATATATATATATATATATACAGGGTATCTGCTACAATATACATTTTCAAATCTATGACTAATTCCAAGAATTTTTCATGACTTAAAGAAGTTATTATTTTCTCTGACAAAAACACAACAATAAATTTAAAAAAGCATTATAATAACATTAATTGAAATGATAAGTATAACCAAAACTATTATACTCTGCATCTTCATAGTTATAGATTTTAAATTAAAAGAAACAGAGTAAAGAAAGAGTTGAAGCAATAAAATAGCATAAAAAAATATTAAAGCAAATAAATTTTTTTTTTGCATAATTATATTCTAAAGATACTTTTCCATAATTTTTAAAAAGCATGATATAAACATTTTATATTTTAATAAAATATGACTGTGAGTNGAGGTATCTGTCCTGCATTCACATCTGTACCATTATTGGATTTTTTAGAGCTTTTAAAATAGAACACAATCCTAAAATTCAAAACAAGAAATTAAATGTAAGAAGAAAACAGTCGTTAAATATAAAATGAATATTGTTATTCTTACTGTTCTTCAGTAGTGACTACTGACTGCCCACTTGCACCACAGTCACTACTAGGACCGGATATTCTAGCCCATGCAACATACCATCTGTTGGCCGTCAACTGAATAGGCTCATCAAAAAGCATTGGATATTTATGCCTGAAATAATAGAGTATATCATTGAATTTTAACTATATATACAGGGTATCTGCTACAATATACATTTTCAAATCTATGACTAATTCCAAGAATTTTTCATGACTTAAAGAAGTTATTATTTTCCTTGACAAAAACACAACAATAAATTTAAAAAAGCATTATAATAGCATTAATTGAAATGATAAATTTAACCAAAACTATTATACTCTGTATCTTCATAGTTATAGATTTTAAATTAAAAAAAACAGAGTAAAGAAAGAGTTGAAGCAATAAAATAGCATAAAAAAATATAAAAGCAAATTATTTTTTTTTTGTAGAATTATATTCTTAAGACACTTTTCCATAATTTTTAAAAAGCATGATATAAACATTTTATATTTTAATAAAATATGACTGTGAGTAGAGATTTTGTTACAAATTCTGATATTCGGAACACCATGAAATTAGGATGGGGGGGGGATTCCATTTTAAAATTTAGATTTCTCGTAGGACCTAAATCCATGATTTTTTTACAAAAAAAATTAGTTAAAATCATAACATTTCATGACAAATTTTGTTCAAAAATCGAAATCGATGACTTTCTAGGTGCATGGATACCTTGTATATATTAAAAATAGTTTTTTTTATAGGGGTTAATTGATACAAAATTATTCTTATATGTTTCAATCTCTATAGTACCTTGATATTTCGCAATCCACGGATAACCAACTTTATTATCGGTATATAAATTAATCCTCCCGATTTTAGTAAAAATTTGGGTGTTTGAATACAAAGTCAACTTACACACCATGACGTATGGTAAATTGGTGAATAACTATTAATTTATACAAGCTTTATATTAAATGAGTTCGACTGTGGAGATTTACAGCATAAACGACAAATGATTCAATCAACATAAATTAGAAGATAGCAGATCCTTCTCCAATAGCAGCACAGCCACTAAATCAACAGCAAAGATATAAAATATTCATAAACAAGTTTAAAAAATGCACTCATGCTAAAGTTTTGTAGTGAAATAAAATATTTTGGTCCTTCAAAAATACAATATTGTCCTATTCGATATCCAAATAAATTACTTCCTATTTAGGCATTGCTGAAGGATGCGCAGACTTCCTTTCAGATTGTCTTTTGTGTGTGGTTTTTGTAAAATGAAGGCAGTGGAACTTCAACACAGCCATTTCCATAAGTAATGAAAAACCTCAAAACGTTCTTCCCATATAAAAAACATCTTCTACATGGAAACCAGGATGTGCGATTTCTAGGAAACCAAGCTTGGAAAAAAAGTCAACTATATTTTTATCACCAACAGTCACATCTACAAAAACACCATGCGAACCTAAAAAAGAATTTGAGAAATGCTAAAATATGACATTCTATAAATAGCAAGCTCTGACAGTAAAATAATAAAATACAGAAGTTAAACAAAATAATGTTAAATAATGCTATACCAACTTTATTGAAACAACTTTCTATAAAGTTGTTTTCATAAAGTCAGCTATTGTCACAAAGTTTGTAAATACTTCAATCACGGCTCAAATTTTATTAATATTTCAATGAAGAAAGCCTAGGAAAAAAGTTACATTGCGAAAATATGTTACTTTAAAAAGACCAGATTTATCTGAGCCATTTATTCCGATAAAACGATTTTTTACGATAAATATAATATTATTATAATGTCTCTGTTGTTGTTGTCGTGTCTATGCTACTGAAAAGATTAGAGTCCTCCAAAAGTCTTGATAACAAGGTTTGCAAGTTCTGGAGCCTGATGGCCATGGAGAATTTCGATGGGAGGTGCTCCAAGTTGAAAGAGGGAGCCGATAATGGCCTGGCAGACAAAAACATGGTCTGGAGTTAGTTGCAGATGAGGACAGTACTTGCAGATGGGATAGAATTTTATATGGGTGCATGAGATCTTCATGCCCTTGAAATGTCCAGTACGTAGCCTAGCTATTGTAGAGGAGAGGTTTCTTGGGCAGTTTAGATCGGGGATTGTTGCCTTGCTAAAAAGCTGGTTGTATATCATTCATCTGGCGACAGCATTCGCATCTGCACAGGTGACAGCTCGAGGTTGATCTTCGTCGCGTGCTTTCTTTGCAAGGGCATTTACGCATTTGTTCCCCTCGATTCCAACATGAGCTGGGATCCACTAGAGAGTGCAACGGATATTTAATGAATGAAGAAGGGTATTAAATTCTTGCGTTATTGATGCTTTACCGTTATGTATGGCTTCGAGTGCTGATTTTGAGTCTGAGAAAATCACAATTTCTTTCATTGAGTCATTTAGAGAATGGGAGCGACAATAGGCAAGAGCCTCTTTAATAATGATTAATTCGCTGGTGAAGTTCGAAGCAATTTGNTTCGATCCTTGGGCCGGGCAAGGCCGACTCAGCCTTTCATCCCTTCAGTGGGTCGATAAAATGAGTACCAAGCATGCTTGGGAACTAACACTGGGGGTTCCGCGTTCGGCTGACCACCTGACCGGAACATATGCTCCTGCACCCCAGAGCCCAAGGTCAAGAAAACTGAGATGGGCACAGTCGGCCTTGGCCCTCTTAATGGGCTGTCGCGCCACTGAGTTAGTTAGTTAGTTATATCCTTCATCTGGCGACAGCATTCGCATCTGCACAGGTGACAGCTCGAGGTTGATCTTCGTCGTGTGCTTTCTTTGCAAGGGCATTTGCACATTTGTTCCCCTCGATTCCAACATGAGCTGGGATCCACTAGAGAGTGCAACGGATATTTAATGAATGAAGAAGGGTATTAATTTCTTGCGCTATTGATGTTTTACCGTTATGTATGGCTTCGAGTGCTGATTTTGAGTCTGAGAAAATCACAATTTCTTTCATTGAGTCATTTAGAGAATGGGAGCGACAACAGGCAAGAGCCTCTTTAATAACGATTAATTCGCTGGTGAAGTTCGAAGCAATTTGGCCAGTGGGTATTTTGAGTTTGACGTCATTTTCTGAGGGGTAAGTGATGGAGATGCCAGCACCACCTCTTATATAATGTCTCTCTAAAATGTATTTATAGATATTTCATACAATAAGATTATATTTTAGAATAAAAAACAAAAATAAAAAATGTAATCAAAGTTCGTAAATTGAAAAAAATTTAAAATTGGTATTTTGTCATTTAAAGTACGTCACAAAGAAAAAATTTCATGTTCAAGATTTTTTCGGGTGTAAAAAATAAGAAAATTCATTTAGAAATAGCGTGCACTCCCCCCCCCCCNATCCCCCCCCCCCCCCCAAATTTTTTTTTGGCTGCCTAATTGGCGTTTATTTGTAGAATTGCTCATATTCTCTGTTGATTTCGTAAAAGACACTACTGGGACAAATTTAGCGAATGGGTTGATACGAAAACAATGTCTATGTACTACATTTTGGATCAGCGTTCCCCCAAACTGCACAGGTTGATACGAAAACAATGTCTATGTACTACATTTTGGATCAGCATTCCCCAAAACTGCACCGGTTGATACGAAAACAATGTCTATGTACTACATTTTGGATCAGCGTTCCCCAAAACTGCACTTAGTGGATGAATTTATTAACCAGATTTTTTGTTCAAAAAACTTTGGTTTTACCTTCTTTAAAGACATAAATTTCCATCTATCATAATTTTTATTTATTGACTACTAAACACTTAAGAAATTTTTTTTAGTACAAATTTTTTTTTTTTAATTGCACAGGTGTTTCATTCTTTTCTCTTTTCTTTGTGCAGTGTTAATACAGTGCTTTTAAACTGGACATTTTTATAAAGAGGAAAAAAAAGCTAAGAAGAAAAAATTATTTCCTGAAACATAGAAACTACATGTTCATTAAAAATTGGATTCCAGTTTAAGTGCAATGATGAAATGAAAATTACCATTTGCTTTTAAAGTAGATAGTATACAGGTTAACATTCTCTTAGGGACACTAGAGTCACTGACTGAGGGTAATATGTTCATTCTCAAGATGGATGGATGATGAAGATAAACAACATCAGGTGGACCATCTTTTTGTTGGTTGTAAAAAGAAGCTATGATCTCCTAAACAGTCAAATGTAAGAATTATTTTAAATGCATCAATCAATGGTGTAATCATTAAAGGATATAATTTATACATACATGATAACTTATTATAACTTTCATGAAGAAATATGTAAACACAGAATTTGGCAGTAATAAATTATCACCGCACCAAATAGAATGAAATAAATTATCCCCACATACATTAATGTATGGATTACACTTCAAAAAACAATGTATTTATTTCTAATTTTAATATCTTTTTTTTTACTCATAAATAGATCCAAAGCATTGGTATTTTCAGCCCTTTTGTAGTAGCTATGTAATATGCTGATTCATAAAATTTCAATTTTATTATTTTAAGAAATACAGTGAAACCTCCTGTTATGGACACTCCTGCAAAACGGACGCCTCTCAATAAGGACATATTTTTAATTCCCCGGAAATCTTCTATGAATAAACCATTATGTATATTCTCCACAAAACGGACACTCCCGTAACCGGACGCGGACAGTTATTTTGGCAATGAAACGTTATTTTCTATCTCCTCAAACCGGACATTACTTTTTCTAAATTTGAAAAAAAAAAAAAAAATTAATTCTGTTTTAAATTGCTAGGGAAAAAAACTTTTCGCCATTTTTTAAAACATGTAAATTTTTTGCCTTTTCTATAACTAAAAATATTGTTAAGCTATTTCACTACTGATCAATCTTTCTCCTGTCACCTTGCCTTATCATTGTGAAGAAAGGAGATAAAATGATATTGCTCTCCTGAAATGATTCCGACAGCTGCATCTTTTGATCTGGACCACACAGGTTATGAGACACCTCAAGTTGAAATGACATCTTGCTTTCAATGCTTCTCCCCCATTGAAAATTTCTTTAATTTTCTTAGCAATTTGAAGACTTTATTTAACACAGCTGGGGTAAAAAAGAGAACAGAAATATAATCTTTGATGTGTTCATATAAATGAAATGCTTATTCAGACACTTGATAGATGATCAATTGTGAATAATTAACTCCATAGGTTCTCATTACTTAACTGTGAATCTTGGAAGGTTTACTTTCCAGAAGGTATTAACCATGTTCCCTATCAATGTAAAGGGATGTAAACTTAATAACTGAAACCGAATGAAGACTGAAAGCTCCTATTCGGTATCATACGTCTGACTTGAGTATCTATGCTAATCGGTAAATTATATTCATTTATCTGTAGCTACATCTAGAATTATGTATTTATATCAAACATATAGTCTTTTTTATTTTTCCTAAAGTTTAAACAAATATCTTTGTTGATAGTTATTGTAAATTATTTAATTATTTCTACATCTTTGAAAACATTCTAAAAGCAATTAACAGTGTTGAACTTCGTTATTAGGGTACACTTCCCGTAAGCGGACAACTCTCATAAAAGGACAATTTTTTCGGTCCCTTGAAAGTCCGCTTAACGGAGGTTTCACTGTATAAAGATATATTGATTAGACAAATACTTTGAATTATAAAAAGAGCTCCAGGTAATTCTTTTGAATTTAAAATATAAGATTTTAGAAGAAAAGTTATAAGAATAACTACTACAATGCCTGACCATGCATTAAAGTAACATTCATTCTGGGAGCATTAGATCTTCTAAAGTGGTTGATTTTATAAACCAGTTGACCCATAATTGAAAAAAAAAGTGGTTTTAAAATTAAACTTTAAAAATATAAAAAAAGTTAAATTAATAACTACATTTACATTTTATTTTTAGTATTATAATTTACATTTATCATTTTGATTTATCATTCACAGACAGGTTTTAAAATACTGCCACATTGAAGTTCGGTTAGCAAAAATTAAAATTATAATACTCAACATTACTTGAATGTTTATAAAATTTTTTCCCTTTACTACATCGAATGTCAAGGATAAATTAGAAAACATTTTGAATTTATCATAGAACTCAAATCTTTCCATTTCAGCAGGATGTCATTACTTAATTATAATGAAATTATTTAATTATACTGTTAATTATTTAATTAACTTTTATTCAGAACTGAATCATATTGGAACACTTCCTTCTCAGGAGAAAAATTTCAAAATACACACATTTATAAATCAATATTTTAATTACCACAGATAAGATAAATTTCTTTATTACAAATTACCAAAACCAAAATAAATAATGAAATAGGAGGAGTGATTTACAGCCAGGGCTCACGCCAGTATGGCGACATTGTGACAATTGTCGCCAAATGTTCTTAGAATGTTGCTAAAATGATAAGCATGGCGACAAAATTTTTACCTTGAAATATGTTTGGAAATTACAAAATAGTAACTAAAAATATATATATTTTTTTTGCATCAAAATCCATGTATTTGAAAGAAAAGTTGTTATACAAATTTTATTCTATGCATAGGTTAGGTTTCAGTTTAGGATTTTTTCAAATGGAATAACTGAATGAGCCTGGTTCAAAAAATTTAAATGCAGAAATTTTAAATTTACATGTTGTGCTGTGCTTTGCATTTATGTACTGATAGTGTAATTGCTCACCAATAAAACATAATTTTTGGATCTTTTAAAATTTACTTTATTCAGAATTCTTAATATATTTTTACATTTTTATCTGTATGTTGAATCTATTTACTAACATTATTTAAAGCTTTTTGTAATTTTAATAAATTCTAATCTTCAATCATTATGGAATAATGAACCAAATTAGTTTTAGAGTGTTATGGATAGCAATTAACCCCTTAACTGCCGCGGGCGTATGTATACGTCTCGGCCAGACGATGCGTTAACTGCCGCAGGTGTATATATACGCTTTCCCGAAGTACCATGCTTTGCATTGCGCTGCTATAAATAGAACTACACCCCCTACTTCAGAATGCAGTAAAATGGCCTTGAAAGTGTTTGCTTTGCGAATGTATTACTAATTTCGGAGGAGGGGGAATGGGAAAAGGATGTTATGGAAAAGTGATATCGTATTAATCGCTTGTGTGTATTTATTTGAGTAAGGTCGGGTTTTTTCGCTTTCGTTTCCCGTATGTATTTGGTGCTTTTTATTCTTTCCATCAATGTCTTCGAAGAAAAATGCATCGCAAAAATGTGCTGCTTGTTCAAGAAAAAAAAAAAATCCCGCTATCAGTGCGATGAATGTGATGTTGGTTTATGTGACCAACCATGTTTCAGGATTTATCATACAACAGCTAAGTTTTAACATCTTTTATATTGTATTTTTATTATTTAATTTAAATTTTGTATTTTCTTTCCTTCATCTTTCTTGTCTTGTAAACTGTTTTTAAATTGCAAAGCGTGCATCATTTCCCCCCACCAAAACACCGTGTAAGAAAGTGCACTTGCGCGAAAAACGCTGGCACTGGGGAGTNCCTTCCTTTGTCTTGTAAAAGTAAATTGTTTTTAAATTGCAAAGCGTGCATCATTTTCCCGCACCAAAACACCGTGTAAGAAAGTGCACTTGAGCGAAAAACGCTGGCACTGGGGAGTGAATCACGTAAATTTTACTCGGCAGTTAAGGGGTTAATAAACTTTCGATGAGTACCATATCATGAATTATGCAAGTGTAAATTTTTTCCTTTAGTTTGTCTGCCACATTAACCACAAATTTTCACTAGTGAGAACCTTATTTATAACAGTTAAGTAACTCATAAAAAAGATAAACTCTTAGTTTCCAAAAAAAATTTCTCTTTTCATACCTCTGCCGGAGTAAGCATCTCTCCATTTTCCTTTTTAGGAGATGGATATTTTGTTTGTAAAGTAGGAATCCAGGCAGTCTCACATTTCTGTTTGAGCTGTCGTGCATCTAAAGCTGCCAAAGCATAACCACATATACCAGTTTCATCTTCCACAACAAAACAATATTCAGGACTTAAGCATAAGAAGTGGCCCACTAACCTAAGGAAAATTCAAAATTAGTTAGGATAATATCCATGCTTTAAAAGTCCCCTTTCAACAGAAAAGAAATTTAACCTACTAAAAACAAGTCAGATTAAAAATCCTTGGAATTTTTTTTATTTATTTTTTTGAATATTTTTTGTTTTACTTTGAACTGAATGACCAAATTTAAAATTTAACAATATTATTATAATTTAGATTTAATTATGATCGAGGAATGTCTGACTTTATTACCACTGTATAAGTCGATCTCCTGTTTTCCTTAAATTTTGTGGCTTCAAAAAGTCGATTTACACAATGTTACACAATGTTACAACTTGTTATTTCAAATTAGAGCTTTGAAAAACCCCTTTATTGTATAGTTTAAATTACTATTAATTCCTCTAAAATTTGTTACATGTTTCTTTTTAACTCAATTTTTGTTCCCCGATTTCATAAAGAAATATGTCAACTCCATTAAATATTCAATTTTATTTACTTAGAATAATTGATTTTCAAAGAAAGATAATAAATACGTAGAATTAAAAAAATTGCTAAAAATTCTAGGAAATGCTTTAGTGAGTTATCTCACAACAAAAGCAAGAGGAATTGTGAGAAACAAAGCAATAGAAAAAGTATGATTTGCATTTACAATTCATTTTTAGAGGCTCTGATACCCGATGGTCAAGGTACTCAGTAGACACGTACTTCATATTAATGATAACAAACTTGTTCAGGAAATAAAGTCATAGAATCAGGTCATATTCATTCATAGAATCAGGTCATTTTTAGAGGCTCTGATACCCGATGGTCAAGGTACTCAGTAGACACGTACTTCATATTAATGATAACAAACTTGTTCAGGAAATAAAGTCATAGAATCAGGTCATATTGCTCCCATCATGCTGATTGCGCCTAGCCTCAACATCCATGATAACAAATAACTGTTACAAGACTGCTTCACTTTTTATTTTATAATTAAAATTCTAAACAGCTCCCTCTTTATTCATTATATATTTTTTATTCTGCATACTTCATCTTGTTATATCGTACAGCATAAATATGGCTATATTATGGAACACAAAGATTTTCAAGGTAGATAGTTTGAAAAAGAAAAATTAAATGGATTAAGTATATGAGATATAGTTGAATATGTATTTAACTTGCATTAAAAACAAAGAAATATAAAAGAATTAATAGCTTCAAACGCATAGTAAATATAGAATAGATTAAATAATTAAACACATACTTATCTCCTATTAAATCAGGATATTCAGGAAAGACTTCACTTCCATCTAAGCCATCATCACAAGTTTTTCTGCATACATCATAAACTTGAGACTAAATAAAAAATAAAAAAACTTTTTAGCACAGAATCAGAAAAACCAAAAACACTGTGTAATTCCCATATCTAGAACTAAATAGATTATGATGAAAACTAAAAAAATAAATTGTTCAGGATAAGACCTCAACAAAAGAGGATCAATTGTTTTAAAATAAATCCTGTAATTGTAGTTATAACTCCTGGATATAACTACAAAAGGAGGTCAGGGCAGGGCCCAACATGGGCTATCAAGAAATTGTGGTGAAAAAAGATCAAAACACGTAATTCAATAGATAAATAAGTAATAAATAATAACATCATAAATGAAAAGAATGGCAGCAGAGATATTTAGGTAAAAACTAAATAATAAATCGGTAGCATTACAAAAGAAGAAAAAATAGTTTACCAGTTCAATTTATTATTAATATAAAAAAAGAAAAATAGTTGAAAAACATTTCATTTTCCTAGAACAGTCCTAAAGTTCAGTTTTTTTTTTAAAAATCAAAAGTATTAATTTTTTAAGTATCAATAAAAACTAATCAATAATTTAGTTTTCAAATTTAAAATTATAATATGGTTTTTAAAAATATAACAATTAAGTTTTAATAAAACTACAAGAGATCTTAATCAAATTATGATAATAATCAATAATTGAATAAAAAAAACTCACTTTTTATTCTAAAATAATTTCAACTAAAAGTTAAACAATAAAAATTACATTTCTCAAATTAAAAAAAAAAAAAACAATATATACCTAGACTACTATAACTGGATGGTTATAGTAATTAACTGGAAAATTAGACAGAAAATTTAAAATCAGATTGTGTAAGAAACTTAAGATCAAAACTTATGTAGATTAAGAAAATATTAAAACAAAAATTTCAAACTTTTAAAAGGCAAGAAGATTAATATGTGTTCAACAATGTGTTAAAAAATTATTTCTTATATATATATTTATATTTAATTTACCTCATCTGTCAACAAGTAAGGACGGATAGTATAAATTCTGTTGTTTGGAGTTTCAGGTGACTTATACAGAAACAAATCATTCACACTTTCCAGGGGTAACAAATGCTGAAAAAGAAATTCAATTACTACTGAACCAATTTTAAAACTGATATTTATTATTTTTCAAAGCAATTCATCTCATGCTTCACACAAAAACAATTAATTGCACTTAGACTTTCTAAGACTTTACACGATCATGATAAAATAACTACTTTCTGCCAAAAAACTCTTTTCTTGATTATATAAGCCACCATAAAAACAATTTATACATAATTTCAAATATATTCAATATTGAGTGGCTTATTATATATTTTAAATTATAAATACTTAAGGGGACATGGGACCTTGAAATCATAAAATTTTCAAAAAAAATTTTTTTTGTTAAAAATATAAAGATAGTCAGCCTGAATCACGTGTTGTTCAAATTTTTTCGATACGATGATTTTTTATGATTTTATAGCTATTTTTCTGAAAAGTGGGCGTGGCACTTTTGACGTTCCATAAGCTGTCTGTTTGTTTACATTGTAGTTATCAAGCTTATTTTGATTTTTTTTTATGTTCAAATCAATATTTCTATAAAATATTTTTTAATTAGTATAGCATATAAATTAATTAATTAATATAGCATTAGTATTGAAATTTTCTAGCATGTTATCGAAATTCTGCAATATGCTTTTCCTATGTCAATGTCAATAATTTTTTTATTTATCTGGTATCAAATATATTATTTGTTTTATTAAAATTATAGAGAATAATGTTTTTAGTGTAATTTTTATGCACACAAAAATAATCTTTTTTCTTTGTTTCAAGGTTACATATGACATATTGATATGATGCATAACGAACAATATTTTTATGTAAAAATCGTTTGTATTGGTAAAAATTTAGCATTTATTATATTAAGAATACATCGGAAGTTCTTTTTATATTTTAAGCATGATATTATAGCTATTACAGTGAGTTTTAGTTAATTTACACAAAAAAAGTAGTTTTTCTCCGTTAACTTTTTTTGCATAATTTACTTCTATAATTTGTCCCTTGTGTCTGAATATTTGAAAATTTTGCCTGAAAATTTTTCATATGCTTCATATGACTGTTATAAAGACAATGTAGCATTGTTTTCACGAAATATTAATTATAAAGTTTTTTATACAACTTTAACTGTAGGAGGAAATGAAAATTTTCGAAAAAAAAGCGTCGGAACTAAAAAAATTTTTTTTTCTCAAAACCTGTTGAAGTGAAACAATAACTGATGCTAGAGAGTCTTTATATCATCATTATCTATCTATAGAAAAAATTTTAAATTATTTGGATGAAATTTCAGACACAAGGGACAATTTTTGTATTTTTTAAAATTTTCATATTTTATTAAATTTTTAAAAAAATTTTGACCAAAATTGTTTTTACTTGGCCTATTTCCTAAAATATGCTAAAAAATAAATAAATTATGTTCATAATAGTAAAATTAAATTAAAAAACAAGTTTTCATAACTTTTCATTTGAAAGGTCCCGTGTCCCCTTAATTTAGTTAAGCAAAAAAAAGAAAAAATTCAAAATTATAATTAATTTAACTATAATTTAAAAAGGTTATCGAGTGTATTTTATTTTAGATTTAAATAAAAGTTATTTATAAAGCTAAAAAAAGCAAAAGCAAAAAAAGTTAGGCAAAAAAAAATAATAAAAATTTCAAAATTATAATTAATTTAACTATAATTTAAAAAGGTTATCGTGAGTATTTTTTTTAAAGATTTAAATAAAAGTTATTCATAAAATCATATTCAACAAAACGTTAATAAAATTAATATTATTGATTGGATAGACAGAGATCTGTCACTTTCGAATTGCAGGCTCAGAGGTTAAAATAATTATTTTAATTGCATTTATTAATAGGCTGCATTTTTGTTGACAAGCATGTAGCAAATTGCTTCTTAAAATAATTAAATGCTATTTACAGAAAAACAAGGTAGCAAAAACTGTGAGTACCATTTATGGTCTTAGGCTAGACTGAATGGTCTGCTTGCGTCAATCGTTTTTTAGCATTTATTCTTTTTCCAGCCATTTCTATACGGCTTTTTAAATTTTAGTATTTCAATATGACACCATTACAATATTAGAATTTCGTATTTGAATTGGTCCTTTTTGATGTGCTCAGTTTATAATGATCATGCCACAAATCATTTTTATTTTAGATAATTTTTTTGCCACTTTTATATGATTTTCCAAATGTCTTACTCGTAATTATGACTCAAGGATTTCAAATTTTAGTTACTACTGGCTGACAGATGAACAATTTGCAACGGTTACATTATAAATTCACATTGTTGTATAGTTTTATCAAATTGTTTTTGCACCAGATAGATATTATTTGGTCGGAGTAACCACCTTATGTTGTAAAATTCTTGTGTTTTATCAAATGTATTAAATTTAGTGCATAATTTTAATATAATACATAGTAAAAAGCAGTTTAAACTTCCATAATAAATAAGCATTTAAATTATTTGTTCAATAACCATTTTATATTGCAATTCATCGCACAATAATAACTTTGTTGCATTTGTCACTAGTATAAAACCTGGCTTTGCTACTAGCATTTTTTAGCAATAGCAAACTCAGCTGCTGATTTTGAGAAATGAAATCCTACCTTGTTTATTCATATCAGTTAAAAAAAAAATCATACATTTTATTTTAACTTTGTAGTCACTTGATGAACTAGACAATTGTTATCAAACAGCTTTATAGGTAATTTTTTTCAAGGAGATGTAAGTTTAGCAGTCTCTCTAGTTGGAAAAGCAAAACTTTGTTATAACGTGATAGTTTTCTAAAAGCTTTTTTAAGCGACCACTTCCTAGTCAATCCCTGGCTCAGTATTAAGAATTTTTTGACTGTTCCATAATAATAAAACAGAAAAAATCATTTGCTGTTGTTATAATACAATTTACCGAAACATGAATTCAGAGCCTAATCTAAGCCTGAAAAACTGTGAGCCATTTTCCTAATTGCTGAATTTCTTTGTTCCACCCCATAGCTTTTCAAACAATCCATTAAAGATTTTCAAATATTCCATTAAAGATTGTTTTTTTGCTATCAAGAGGTAAGCAGCCTAAAATTTCAAACTTCATTCATATTTTACCTAAACCAAAACTTTTAAAACAACTTCCAGATTTTTGTTCTATATTCCAAATTCCTATTTTTTCCATAGAAATATATATATATATATTATTTACAGCTGTAGTAGATAAATTATAAGAAAAAAAAGTTTTGAAACTCACTTGAAGTTCAGAAGTAAGGCCTCCAAGGAATGACCAGGGTTCCTGATCGCCACTCATGAATGCTTCTTTATAACCTTTAGAAAACCCTGTTAGTCACAAAGCATAATATCACTACGCCAAATACAGTGCATGAAACACCAAAATATATACACCAATACAATCTAAACTTTATTTTTGTAAAAGTCAATTTTTAAAAAGCACAAAATGAGATCTTGTGCAAGCAAAGATTCACAGATTTAAGAATTATTTTAAAATTTTTTTAATTCCTTATGCCATACTCTCTAAAAAAAAAAAATTCTTTTACATTATATATAACACAAATAACTTCATATGATAATTGTTTATATATTTGAATACCACAAATATACCAGTTTATTCCAGAATTGTGTAAAATCATATGAATTTCTTTCATTTATTTATTTTTCAAAAATTATTATTAAACAATTTTAACAATGTACAAATTTTACTTCATAAAAATATTTTTAAAAAGTTATAGAAACTGAAACAAAGGCCATGATTTTGACAGGAATTTCAACCAAAATTAATACAATAAATGGGGAAATATTAAGCTATGAGAAATTTGTGCAGTCTTGGTTAGTTTGCAGTTATTGATGCAATACCCAGTTATGGATACAGTGCTCAGCATCATTCGTAAAGGAAAAATTTGATGGCAAAAAAAAGAAATTAAGAAAAAAAAAATCAAAATTTTTTCCAAAATATTTTTTTTTGCGACAAGAAACTTTGCTAGCACAAGAGCATACACTTATATTTAAAAATAAGACAAAGTTATATTTAATAAAAATTATCAACCAATAATAACAACGTAGACAATTTCAAATACATTAATATGAATTTGCAAAATGTAATCGCAGTTAAGATCAAATCGAAATTTAGGAGTTGGCAGTCTTGAGTAAACTTATTGGTGTGATTCCTAAAATGTTCGCAATGGAGAAATTAAGCAAATTAGTATATCCATTGACTTATTCTATAGGAAAGAAAAGTTCACATTATAAAACCATGGCTCTACTGATATTACAGAAAAAAAAACTTCATACCTTAGAACAATTACACTGATTTTATAACTTAATTTGTTTACGGGGTTGGAATTATTGCTATTCCTAATAATTGCAATCTATTCATTCAATTTCCAAGAAAAACAAAAAGGAAGAACCACAAATTAAGTTTTATATTTTACAACAAAATAGCTTTACAAAAGAAAAAAAAATTTACGTACAATAATGTTGAATAATTTAAATTAAATGAAAAAGAAAAAAAAAAAACAATTCAATATTTCTATATATAACAGGGTTGCCACAGAAAAAAAATGAACAAAATAGTTGCTTTTAGTAGCCTAAAGCACGAAAAGCTGCCTAAATGAAAACAAAAATTTATCAAAAATATAACTATAAAATTATTAAACGACTTAACTGTCATATACCAGGATTCATTTAGTCAAGTTGGAGGCAAATATGTTAATTCTTATATAAACGTTAGTGTTATAGCACTAAATTTTTATAAAAAAATTTGTATATTTGCAGAAAATTAAATACTTTTAATAATTAGAATTCATCCGAAAAAATACTTTTTAATTAAAAAAACATAATTTTTCTAAAAAATTCCCCCATTTAACAATAATTGATTCAGCAAATGTATATATATATAAACATATATTGTAAAAAGTTATTTCTTTAACTCAGAATTTCCGCATAGTAAATATTGAATAGAAAATTCTTTTCTTTTTAAAATCATGCAGAATTTTGTAACTATAATAGTGGAAAAGGCGACTGAGAAACAAAAAAGCCTTACAGTGGGATCTGGGCAAATTGAGTGAATTAAAAAGTGATGACTCAAATTTGCAAGTCGAAATTTTTTATTTTTTAAGAAAAAAAAAATTCATTGTGTTCAGAAGCTTTCGCAGGCTGCAAGTTTTCAACTCAATTATGCTAAAAAACAGCGCTAGGAGTACAGAAAAGTCTCTCAATAGTTTTCTTTTCCTGAAAATAGTTGCATTTTTAGGCAAAAAAAAAAAGTTGCCATAGTCGCCGCATGCCGAAAATAGTCACATTTTAGTCACCAGTTGCAGACCTGATATACATGTATATGAAGTTAAAGAGAAAAAGTTTATTCAACTGTTAAAAGAACCAATATTTTTACTGAATTTTAAATTGCTTAATTAGCAGCTATTATAAATTACACCGTACTAAATATCGTAAGTTTTTATTTTATTTCTTACAAAATGCTATAATTTTTATTTTCGCTGAACCTAATTTGTACTACTAAATCTTAAGAATCATACAACTAAAAAAAAAAAAGTATATTAATAACCATCAAACCCAAATATCAGTGCAAAAATGTCTATGATAACTGCTTACAGTAAAAAAAAATCTTCTTTAAGAATTCAGTCAAAAAAAATCCTTTACAACCATGGATTTACAATGAGAATAAAATAACAGATTTAGAAACCGAGACTCGTTTTCATCTCCTAAAGAAGCAAAGTCTTATTAGTATATTGGGTTTTAAATAAATCACATAAAGATATACAAAAATTTTCATAAATAAGTAAAACCACAATGGCAGTAATGATAACTAGCAATTTTTCATTAATATAATTTTTTTATTCTAAAAATTATTTATTGTTAGTATAGTAGGGCAAAATTAATAGTCGCCACTGGCCTTAGGGTGTTGAAATACGAGTGGAATTAAAAATTGGTCTAACAATCGCCACTTCTTTTGTTGAAAATGCATTCCACGTACATTTTATTACTTTTCTTTTAATGAATAAGGAATTATTATTAATATTTTATTATAATCTGAAGATTATTTTATTTCACCCATGTCTCTTAAAATTTTTCTCTGTTTTGGAAACGAACCTTGTAATGTTCAGCATATTTTGAGAAATGCTTCAAAAGGAATATGCCTGACATTATTAAGTTATTTAAAACTTTTGATTTTGGAAAAAGTGGCCACTGTTAAAAATGGCTAAATGTTAATGGCCAGTAACTAAATTTTATAATTTTGCCCCATAATTTTTTAGGAAACCAAACTAAATTTGGAAGAAAATGAACAGGATCAAAAACTTGTGTTGCAGAGGCAGAAATCCAGATTTTGAATATTTTCACTGCATAAATAAAAAATTGCTGTTTCTAACTGTAAAAAAGTATTCTGTTACCAAATGAAAGCCTAAAATACAAAAGCAGGGATGCGTACATGTGAAAGGAGCGGAAATGAAACTTGTCACAGGCAAAGGAACACGCCGCAGTGCTATAAAAATAGAAGAAAAAAAATGTCATTATAGAAACTTGCCCACTAAAACAAAACCATGAATGAACAGATAAAGAATGAAGAAATAAACATTAAGATGGCATGAAAAGAAAAAAAAAACATATAAAGGGTCAGAGGCAATATAATGACAAGTCATATTTTTCTTATTCTTTGAGGTGACATTCGCTTTACATCTTGTTAGTGGGAGAAGAATTTACGGAGGCAACCTGCAGCACTGTCACCATCGATGCTGATTTGCTTGTAACTCTAATGAAGTCAGACAGTGATTATTGCTACAGTTCAGCATAATTTAATTAAATACAAAAACTTTATGTTGTTTAAATTCAATTTGTAAAAGAGAATAGCGAGGATCATCATTTCAAAAATAGAAATTAATATGCAGATAATGCGACAATCAGCAGCAGTCGCAACAATGCTGGAAAGATTCCAGTTCCAAGATCATAGCGTTTTTGAGTATTGTTTTCAGTTAGGTATTTCGCAAATTTCAGGAATTTTCATTAGAAAACAACATGACAGGTAGAAGCATTTTATTAGTTACATGGTAACTGACTAGGTTTTTAATCAGCAATGCTTTTTCGAACTATTAAAAATATAGCTAATCATTATATTGCTCAATGATTTTCATAAATAAATAAATATATATATATATATAGACAGAATAATTATAAAATAAATTTGGAAACATGAGATCCCTTGCCAACCACAAAGAAAATGGGCACAATTTTTGTGTTTAGATTAGTGGATAATCAATCAGTTCTCATGATTATAGAATTTCCTTAATGCATGTCTTTTCTTTTCTTTCTTTCAAAATATGACCTCTAAAATAAAAAAACTTAAAATGGAGTTAAAAAAATATTATTAGCCTTAAAAAAAAAAAAGAAAAGAAAAAAAAGAAAATGGTATATACATATTACCAGTTATTTTATACGGTATAAGCTAATTTTTATATTTTTTTATCTAAGCGATTTTTGTTAACTGATAGATTAGTCTACCTAATTTTAAGGCATTTTTATTTTATTTTACTTCATATAGGTTTACAGGTTCGTTTTCTGATTTTCTACTTTCCTCTTAAACTCATTTTCAATTGCATTTTTTAAAATTTTTCAGCAATGTAGATACATTATAAAGTTTGATTTTCATCTCTGGATAATTAGTCTTTAGTTCGAAATACCACAAGTCATCATTGTAAAGCAGTGTTTTCTAAAGTGTGGTACGCATACCCCCAGGGGTACAAGAACAGTTCAGCGGGGGTACGCTTTCTTATGCAAAATATCTTGCAACAAACGAAATTTTCAAATTTTTTTAAATTTAAAATCAAAGCCAGCCATGAAAATTTACAATTACTTATTTTTCTATTGTCAATTTTTTGCAGAGTTAACAGTTAATAATTAGTGGTGTCAACAGCTAGTTGTCAATTGCACTTTTGTGCAATTTTTTTACAGTAAAAAATCTATTCATTTTTTTATTAGTGGTACATAGCGTTATGAAAAATTTAGAAAGGGTACATAAAAGTCATAAGTACGGGAAACTCTGCTGAAAGGAATGCGTTCTTAAGAGACCTTTATGTTTTCCCAATAAAAATTTTTTTAAATTTTATTTTTATTTTCTAATTCTATTAGATATATATATATATGAGGGCGTGCTGAAAATATTAAATAAGTATTTGATTAATTAATCCACCAAAAATTTTCTAATTGAATTTCTTTACAAAATGTTTAAATTCTATGCAGGTAAAGCTACATACTTGAAACATGAATATAATTATTAGGGGGTTCTTAAGTTCGGACCATTAAATTTTACCAATTTTACAAGCATTATTGAGTATAATAAAAAGATGCTGGATTGAAAATACAAATCATTTCATTTTTCAAATCAATCCAATTAGAATTCACATTGTATTCTCAGAAAATGAGATCTTCTAAACACACTCAAAAATCAGGAATATCAGGAGAAAACAAATCTGGATAAATAATTAGATAAAATTTTTTTTAAATAGAAAATCATGACAACTATGGACTCTGTATAGTCAATAAAATAAAAAACTATATTACAATGGAAACGTAAATTGCCTATAAGATTTTCCATTTATGATTGAAATTAAATGAATTTGAATATAAATATTTTTATCAAATTTATAGAACTCATAATTTTGAAGAGTAATAAATATTGCATTAATTTTAGATAGTTTTATGAACCGCAGCTTTCGTTGAAGAAAGGAAAGCTAAATGGAACTTACTGCATTATTCAGAAGTAAATGTTATACAGTGAAACCTCGGTTAGACGGACATTCTTGGGACTGACAAAATTGTTCGCCTACGAGAGTTGTTCGTTTACGGGAAGGATACACTAATAACGGATTTTAAAGCCATAAAGTTTTTCTACAATAGTTGTACAGATATAAAAATAATTAAATAATATATAATTACTATTTACATTAATATACATTTTAAACTTTAAAAAAAAAATACTTTTTCCATGCAAAAAGAAAAAGTTTGATATATGTTCATAATTTTAGATGTAGTTACAGATAAATGAATATGTTTTTCTTTTTTACAAAGACATTCATGTTAGTCATATAATACCGATAATTTTAGTCATATGTCACTTTCTCATATTATTAGGTTAACACTCCTTACATCTCCCAATCACTTGATAAGAAACTGGGAAAAAAAGTCTAGAAGGTAAACCTTCTGTCATGCACAGAAAAAAGAAAGCAGCAATACATACCTGTAAGAATCTAGGCCCTATGAAGAGCTTTAATATTCACAATCATTATCAGAGCTTAATTTTCTATTGAATAATATTCACAACCATAATAATTCGTCAAGCGCCTGAATAAATGTTTGATTTATATGAACACCTCAATGACTAGATTTGTTTTTGAACCCGGCTGAGTTAAATATCGGAGTGAAATTGAAAGAAAGACATTTTACGTTGGGAAGAGGAATTTAAAGTATTTAATCTGGCATTTCAGTTTGTGATGGGGTCTCTTACAACTTGTGTTGTCCTAATGAAAAGATACTCCTACATATTTCACATACACAGTATCATTTTCCCTTCCTTTGCTAAGATAAAGGAAGGGGAGAAGAGGAAGATAGGATTCTTTAGTAGTGAAATAGATTAATATTTTTAATTAAGGATATGGTAAAAATTTACATTCTTTTAAAAATAGTGGAACGTTGCATAATTTTTTTTTTCTGTTTGATTTTCAATAAATAATTTTTTCAAAGTATTCTTTGAAAAATTGGTGTACAGTTTTAAGAGACAGAAAATATCTTTCGGGTCATAAATGACTGTCTGCTATGTGGAGAGGGTACATAAGGGTTCATTCATAGAAAATTCACGGGGAAATAAAAACATGTCCACAATGAGAGCAGGGATGCCAATTGCTCTGCCTTCTGCAAAAGTTGTAATAAATTGGTAGTGAATTGAACAGTAAAACTTGTAGAATAGGGATAATTACGCATACTCTTTAAAGTGTCACCATAAGATACTTGCGATAAAGTTTCATATATTTTGAATTTTTCATTTTTAGTAGTCGGAAAAATACTAACCTAAAAATGACTTAAATTTCATTACCACAAGAAAAGACTTTTTTTCAAAGCGGAGCAAGATGGCAACTCTGTGAGAGGCATCCGTTCAGTAGGATTGTCCGTGATGTGCGGATTCACTGTATATTCAAATACTTAAACAAGCAATAATCTAAGTAAAAAATCTATTTTAATAGGTATTTCTTTCAGAAGTTTTCCTAACTGAAGGGAATTTGTTAAAATATGTAATAAAAATAAAACTTTTTATTAAACCAAGAGAACCTAGCAAAATCCTGTTGTCAACAGGAAAATCCAATGGATGAATTTTAGTTACCTAAGATTTGGACTTTTTTTTTTTACTAAAGAATAAAGCAGATAATCAAATTACTTACCAATCCACTTCAGGTAAGAATTCAGCATGGAAATAACACCTTTAATGTCCCAAATGTAAGGATAAAGATCATAGAGAAGAGACCGATTAGGACAGAACGTCAAGCGCATCAATAATTTCCCTACAGATTGAGTCAATGCATCAAATCTAGTTGCTCTATTCAACCACTCCTGAACTTCAGGATTATCAGGTTCATTCCTCTTTTTCTTAGGATTTTGGCATACAAGATATCCATGCGATTTCAACCAGTGAAATTCTTGGAGGATTTTCAGACCCTGTCTGCCGTGTTCGAAGGGCAAGTAAAACAAGTCTATCAATAGGCTAACGTCTTTCTCCGTAAGCTGTCTATCCTCCGTTTCACTTCCATTAGACGTGCCCGTTACATCGATGGGCTCAGTTTGCATCTCCTCAGCACCGTCATCTTTGGCGGTCGCTTCGACCTCGTCGGATTTAGGCGTTGTTTCGACACAAATTTCACTTTCCACCTCGACTTCCACAGGTGGTGAGGATTTTGGAGAAGGGGGCAAGGGGTTGCAGTCCATAGGCTCCAGGTTTGCTTCTTTAGTAGTTATTAAAGAGTTCACTAACTCACTAGAAAGGGGTTGAAAGTTTGAGTCTAGGCCTGGACTTGTCCTTCCAGATGCATTAGGAGTGGTCATGTTTGAGGTAGTGAAACAAGCTGTTATGACTGGAAGTGGACATGCTGGAATAGGAGTAGGAACTAAAGGGCCAGAGCCTAATAAGCGGCCAAGGGCATTTTTGGACTTGTAAAATTCTGGGAGCCAATCTTGCACAGCTACACGCAGAGCATTAGCAGGATGGTAAGTGTTAGGACTAAGGTGTGAAGGTATATCCTCCACAGAGCCAAACTCATTTTCAGTTTCTAGCTTTATATCTGCACAGACAGACTCACCTAGATAAAAAAAAAATAATGACATTTAATTTACAAGGTGTAAAAAAAGCTTGGAAACTGTCAAATATCTCGGTAACAGTACATACATAAAAAAAGTGAAGATAAACAAATTTTTTAAAAGCATTCTAAAGATACCACATTTGACCTTCTGCCCCGCTGTGGGCAGGTTGGGGGCAACTTTGAAATATGAGCCCCTAATTTTTATTTCAGATTTGGGATACTCCAGAACAAAGTAATCCTATTTGACCTATAGGTTTACACAATTTTCTCCACAGATGGCGCTGTAACTGAAAAAATTAAATAGACAAAAAAAGCCTTTAAAAAAGTAGTATTTTCTGACCACGCATATTGCAAATATATATATATTTAATCTGGTGGGTAATCTGATTTTAAGATTTGCCATTTTAAACAGTTAGTACCCAATTTGAAACTTTCTCGGTTAAAGTGCCACCTGTGACCTATAGGTCAAATAGAGTGACCTTTTTTCTAAAGAATCCGAATGTATAGTAAAAAAAATATGGGTTCCCACTTAAAGTTACAAAAATGGAGCCATGGGATGGGATTTTGGTATTAGTGGATAGCTTTTTTAAGAAAATAATGAATGTGCGCTTATCTACACTTTTTCAATCAGTAATTTTTTTATTGACTTACATACAGATATTTTTGGAAACAATGCGTTTTGAAAATGTAAAAAAAGTAAAAGCTTGTCTTTTTGAAATGCACATGAATGACTAAATTTCTGATCTTTGAGAGTCGAAAATTTCAATTTTCTATATTACCTTATTTTTCAGAAAAAATGCAATGCCCCAATGAAAACTAAAGTTTATTTGAATTGGTGCTCATAAAGAATGATAATTGTTAATCGTCCATAAAAAATATTAAAATATAAAAAAAAAATCGGAAATTGCAAAATAAAAAAATAAAATAAATAATCGAGTCTCTGCTTATAGAGAAAAGTAATTGAGATAAAAGGATATAACACTATAGTTATTTATAAGAAATATTTAATGAAAGACTAACAACTACAAAAAAAACCTGCAAATTGCAAAGTAATAAGTTTTTCTTTAAGTAAGTTTCAATGCATTCATTTTTTTACTTTGATATAACTAGCATTGTGTTATACACAAAGGGTGGGGGACATAATAGGCAGAACTTTGATACATTTCTGATGATAGTCAAAAAAGTTAATAGAAACATTATTTAGGACAAAAAATTCTCTAATGTTTCTATTAATTTTATATTATGATGGTTAAAATTTTTTTACAAATATTATTTAGGGCAGTTTTCTTTATAAAAGTAAACTTAGCATTTGAATATAGAAAAATAAAGATTTAAGAAATGCAAAAAGTTATTTGAGTTACTTACTTAAATTTAATTCTCTTTTACCATCTACTGTACACTTGCTCCATTGAGATAAAGTATGAATCGGTATATAATTGGTTTCATATTCGCAATTAGGATTTGTTAATATTCCTCTAAGTCTTGGAATGAGTTCAGTAGATCTACCACAGTAAGGACCCATAAAGAGTCTCTTTTGGTCATAGTCATTGGCATGCAAGTTGTCCCAAATGAGGGGTGGACGACGGAGAACTTCCGATAACTCTTGTATGGATTCAACAGTGATATCTTTAGAGATTACCTTTGGTCCTGAAATTTATAAGACATTCAACAGATTACAAAACGAATGCAGCTTTTAATAAAACTTAAGTATAGCTTTTAATAAAATGTAATAAATAGAACATTTTTAAGATATTGAAATTGATAAGTACAGTTTATTTACACATTATTTTCAAAATGTAAGTTAATATTCTAGCTTCAATATAATGATAAAAAATTATCCATTTTTTAAATAATTATTACTTTAAAGAAAAAAAAAAAACTAATTTGCCATCCTGTCTTGTTCTGTTAGCTAGTGAAAATTTCAGAAAGTTGAACAAAACTTTGCTAAATAAAAAGAAAAATATCAACACCTAAGAAAAAAAAACATTCTGTATAACTTTTGATTTGATAATTGAATCTTCATGTTATAGGACTCAATCTTAAGGTTTCAAGGAGGTGATTTCAAATTATTCTAATCAATTAGTGCAGATGGCATTTTAAGTTACGAAATTAAGACAGAAAAACGTAGTTTCTCTTAATAAACATGCCTTTTTTTTCCTTTTAAAATGGATTCGAATTTCTGACCCCTAAATCTCCGCAATCTCGGAAATATGGTCTCCACAGTTTGAGGGGTCCAAACTTTTAATAGTTCCTCTGACCAAACTATGGGGTCAGAAATTCAAATCCGCTGAAAAAAAGATATGTTTATTCAGTGAAAGTACATTTTTGTGTGCGATTTCTTAACTTAAAATAATGTCTGCACTATTTAATTAATATTTTGGAGGTCATCCCCTTGAACCATTAAGATTGAGTCTAAAATGTAAAGATCTGATAATTAGATCTAAAGTTATTTAGGTTGGTCCATTTTTCTTGGCACACTCTACCTACCAGGAAACAAAAATAAGGAGCAGTTTGATGTAAAAATACTACTTCTGATACAGCATTAGCCTATCTGTAATTTGTCCCAAGCCTTTTAACAACATTTGATGTGATATTTACAATTATTAATCTGAATACAAAATTAAAATAAACCATTTGTTTTTGATATATTAAAGGTTATTGATTGAGAAAAATCTTCCTGCAATAAATATGTATCAATATTATAAAAGTAAAATCATTTTACCTGTCCACATAATGTCAATATCAATGTGTAATTTCTGACCAATTGTGTTGAGGTATTCTGAATTTTGGACATTAGGAATTGCTCTTGCAGCACAGTATTCTAAAAAATAATTAAACTGGAAATTAGTTCAAAATATTTTATTCAACAGGCGTTGAACAACCAACCCAATTCTGAGTTTAGACAATGAGTGATCAACTCTCTAGTTTTGTAATTTTGAGCTCAGTCCAGTAGACAAGGAAACTCCTGAATCAAGTATTGGTACAAACTAACCTTCATGGAGAACTGTTTGATGAAACTATCCTGCATTTGCATTACCATGCCGATAAAAACCATGGCTAGGTCAACACAACAAGGGAATTCTAACTCATGATCTATCTACCACTAAAAATTATTTACGTCAGCATGAGTCGGGAGTAGAATACTATCAACCAGTCGCTACTGGGATTCAAACCTGGATTCTTTCACGGGGAGGGCGCTCGGTTCAAGACACTAAAACAGATACTTTTTTTTAAAAACAAGTACAGTACAGAACCCGTTATCCGGAAATCAGAAAACCAAAAAATCGGAACGAAATTCGATAAATTTTNATTATTTAGGACAAAAAATTCTCTAATGTTTCTATTAATTTTATATTATGATGGTTAAAATTTCTTTACAAATATTATTTAGGGCAGTTTTGCTTATAAAAGTAAACTTAGCATTTGAATATAGAAAAATAAAGATTTAAGAAATGCAAAAAGTTATTTGAGTTACTTACTTAAATTTAATTCTCTTTTACCATCTACTGTACACTTGCTCCATTGAGATAAAGTATGAATCGGTATATAATTGGTTTCATACTCGCAATTAGGATTTGTTAATATTCCTCTGAGTCTTGGAATAAGTTCAGTAGACCTACCACAGTAAGGACCCATAAAGAGTCTCTTTTGGTCATAGTCATTGGCATGCAAGTTGTCCCAAATGAGGGGTGGACGACGGAGAACTTCTGATAACTCTTGTATGGATTCAACAGTGATATCTTTTGAGATTACCTTTGGTCCTAAAATTTATAAGACAGTCACACCATTCAACAAATGCAGCTTTTAATCAAACTTAAGTAGTTTTTTATAATATGTAACAAATAGAATATTTTTAAGATACTGAAATTGGTAAGTATAGTTTATTTATTCATATTTTCAAGATGTAAGTTAATGTTCTAGCTTCAATATAATGATAAGCCTCATTTTTAAAATTATTCAGAGTACTTTAAGGAAAAATAAAAAGACTTTTTCCCGCCTTGTCCTGTTAGCTAGTGAAAATTTCAGAAAGTTGAACAAAACTTTGCTAAAAAAGAAAAAAAAAACAACAACACTCTGAATAACTTTTGATTTAATGATTGAATCTTCATGTTATAGGACTCAATCTTAAAGGTTCAAGGAGGTGAATTCAAATTATTCTAATTAATTAGTGCAGATGACATTTTAAGTTACAAAATTAGACAGAAAAAAGCACTTTCTCTTAATAAACATGTGCAATTTTTTATAAAAATGGATTCGTATTTCTGACCCTCAAAATATAGGGGCAATCTTGGAAATATGATCTCCATAGTTTCAGGCGTTCAAACTTTGGACAGTTCCTCTGACCAAACAATACTTAAGGGACAATATTTTAAGGGTCAGAAATCCAAATCCGTTGAAAAAAAGGTATGTTTATTCAATGAAAGTACATTTTTGTGTGTGATTTCGTAACTTAAAATAATGTCTGCACTATTTAATTAGCATATTTGAGGTCACCCCCTTGAACCATTATGATTGAGTCCTAAAACATAAAGATTTGATAGTTAGAACAAAAGTTATTTATGTTGGTCTGTTATTTTTGGCACACTCTGCCTACCAGAAAACAAAAATAAGGAGCAGTTTGATGTAAAAATACTACTTCTGATACAGCATTAGCCTATCTGTAATTTGCCCCAAGCCTTTTAACAACATTTTATGCGATATTTAAAATTATTAATCTTAATACAAAAGTAAAATAAACCATTTGTTTTTGATTGAGTAAAGGATATTGATTGAGAAAATCTTCCTGCAACAAAATATTACAAAAGTAAAATCATTTTACCTGTCCACATAATGTCAATATCAATGTGTAATTTCTGGCCAATTGTGTTGAGGTATTCTGAATTTTGGACATTAGGAATTGCTCTTGCAGCACAGTATTCTAAAAAATAATTTAATAGGAAATTAGTTCAAAATATTTTGTTTAACAGGCGTTGAACAACCAACCCAATTCCAAGTTTAGACAATGAGTGATCAACGCTCTAGTTTTGTAATTTTGAGCTCAGCCCAGTAGACAAGGAAACTCCTGAACCAAGCATTGACACAAACTAACCTTCATGGAGAACTCTTTGATGGAACTTTGATGGTATTTGCGTTATCATGCCGATAAAAAACACAGTTAGGTTGACAACAAGGGAATTCTAACTCATGATCTATCTACCAATAAAAATTATTTACGTCAGCACTGTAGTCAGTGGGAGTCGGGAGTAGAATACTATCGACCAGCTGCTAGTGGGATTCAAACCTGGATTCTTTCACTAGGAAGGGGATGCTCTATCCACTGAATCAAGGTGATTCTTAGTTCAAAATACTGAAACAGGTGCTTTTTTTTAAAACAAGTGTTGAAATAAATTTCTTAAGAATTAAAAAAGCAAGTCCTGTGTTGTATAGTTATAACTATTTGAGAACTTTTCTTAGTTATACCCATGGATATCGAGATAACTTTAAAAATCCCGATATTTTTAAATTGAAAATATTACGACTCATTGCTCTTGAATCACACATATGAGCAATCACTTTTCGACCACCTAAATTTGATTTTGCACCAAATTCATTGTAAATCCATGAGGTCTTAATGCAACTTTGCAGTTATTGCTATGCATTTTTGCATGATTTTTGGATTCCTATTTTTAATTTATCACAAGATTTGCATAATTTGAAGAACAAATAAAAGTGTGTATATAAGGAAAGATAAGATTTTTCCTCCGATGATTGTTGAAAACATCGAAAAATATATTGTTCAAGCTCAGTTCTTAGACAGATTTTCTTTTATATATAAACATTGAAATAAAAAAATCTCAGATCGTAATTGAGAAAAAACCAAGAGTATATTCACCACTCTAAATTTATTATAATTATTTTACAACATGTATACGTGTTTAGGAATTTAAGACTCTAGAAAGAAAGAAATATCTGAAACACTTCATTTAAAATAATTAATGTATCATTAACAGAAATATAAAAATTTAAACTTTTATGCATGTATATACATTTAAAAGTTAACATATAAACTTAGAATTTATTTTAAGCTGTTTAATATTTTATAGCTTAAATTTAATGATACTAATCAAAAACTTTTTATTTAATAAATTCGACAATTTTTACATTGCACCAGCTCAAGGAAATCAATCTATTTTATTCATTCATTTCCTGGATTTTCTTTTAAAAAATAGCTGTTGCATAAAAAATTCAAAAAGAAAAAAAAACCCAAGTAAACTCGCACTTGGTGACTTGATTATCTGTGCCGTCAAAATGGGAAAGTATTAAAATTAATTATCAATTATATAAAGCTCTAAGTATAAAAATCTTTTAAAAATGCTTAAAATTGCAATCCTTAAAAACATTTAATTTAAATTAAAAAAGGGTGCTTGTTTAATAGAAAAAAAAAAGAATAATGAAAATATTAATGAATAGAATTTATTAAAATAGCATTGACAAAAAGCGAAATAAATGTTAGTTACATTAAATGTTAGAATAAATGTTAGTTAGATAAGTTTTTATAAGATATAATTACATGATTTTTAAACGGTTAATAATAAATTTAAAAAAAACACACATGGTATAGATATGAGTAACCATTATTATTCAGCTAATCTAATACTGTCTGAGTTGATTGTGAGCTTCCTTAAAAAAATTCACAGTTTTCACTGTTTATAATCATGGTAGACATCCTGTAATAATAACAAAAGAAACAAACGAACTTGAACTTATAGTTAAATAACAATACCTGTAGGGCAAAATATAAACTTTGGATGTGACAGATATTCAAAGATTTCGTTGGCAACAGCTACTTGGGCATGAGCAAACGACTGATAAACCTCTTTGTCAGTCTCACTAATTTCAGGTTCAATATCATCAAAAAGTAGTGCAAATGCCCTACAGCCAAATTGACAAACCTAAATATAACAAAATAAATAAATATATAAAAATAAGTTTTACAATTAAGTTAGATTCGGTAAGTGGACAGACAAATAATAAAAAACATTATAATATTTATTACATTATAATTTTACAATATTTAATTATGCTTTCATAAATAAAATATTATGAAAATTAACTACATAAAATTAATATATATTCCATAATTATACGTTGCCGGCCAGGTAGTGGAGCTGTTAGCGTGCCTGACTGCGACTTTGGTTCACAGGTGCCCACTGGGTAAAGTTAAATGAGCAACACTTCCGGCATCTTCCGAGGTGAAGAACTAGAGTTCAAGTACCTGACGTTATTTAAAAAAAATTAATAATAATTACACGTGAATCGTTATATTAACCCGATGACGGTTTTGATATTTTCCTTTTTATTGCTTCCAGATGTTTATACTTTTTTCCCCTTTCAAATACAAGTGTGGACTAGACAGATTCACTTCATCTTCCAATCAGAAAACAGTGGTAAGAAGGATGATTTTTCAATTAACTAATTTTAGATAGGTGGGAATTTTGTCACTTAAAGGTCAGAAGCTTAATCTAATCTACCATTCGTAAATAATGAAGTGAGGTTTTCTTAGTAATTATCAACAATCTCAAACTGGCATGTAGAAGATTTTCAAAATTCTAAGATTTATAGTTGAAAGCCAAAGTTGAATATTTTTTAAAACCAAATTTTATTCAGGAAATTGTAGAACAAAATTATTGGTCACTACCAACCACAAAGTGACCAATATACAGGTTGTTGTTAATTTAAGTCGCACTAGAGCTGCACAATGGGCTATTGGCGACGGTCTGGGAAACATCCCGGAGGATGATCCGAAGACATGCCATCACAATTTTGATCCTCTGCGGAGGGGATGGCCTCCCCCTTTGGAAGTCCGACGACCTGCGCGCGAAGTCAAGCACTTTACGGCAGCACAGTTTAACGAGGACCAATATCGCACACCCTCGGTCCCTAGGCAGACTGATCCAAGTGGTCACCCACCCGCACACTGACCGTAGCCAGTGATGCTTGACTTCGGTGATCTGCTGGGAACCGTGTTTTAACGATCAGTCCACTGCGGGACCGACTAAATATACAAATGGTAATTAAAAAATTGTCTGTAAATCGACACCTTTTTCATGAAAATGGGAAAATAAATTTATTTTATGCTTGTTTTGATTTTCTTAGACATTACAGATATTATAAATATTTCAATGCATTTGCCTTTAAAGTTGAAAATAAACTTTTATATAGTGCTAAATATAATATGGTTTTCAAATTATCTTTTTTTCTTTTCTTTTGTAGCTTATAGATATTTGTTTCTCAATAATTTACTAATTTTTTTTGTTTGTTTCAAGTCAGTTTGCAGTGTTTTCTTCTTAATTTTTAAGATAATTCTTTTTTTAAATTAATTCTATTTTCTTCCTTTTTATTTAATTCTTTTCCTTATTTAATTATTTAATTCTTTTCCTTATTTAATTATTTTTTTGAAAGAATTCCATATCACTGTATTTTATCCTAGTTCAAAATTTCAGGAGGGGAGGGTTGGATTAGGTTATTAAAGGTTTAATTTGAGTCAAGATAATTTCAGATTACTTTTTTTTAAATTTATAGATAACAATATTTAAAAGTAATCTAATTAATATAATTTCACCACTAGTGTTCCAATTATATTAGATTAGTTTTGTAATGAATACATTTTATATTTATTATTAAACATAAATTTTTTTTATTGTCAATATCCTTTTAAAAACCCAAATCTTAAATTTTATGAGTTTAAAATGTGGTACACAATGATTAAATTTCAACTAAACCTATTTGGGGAGGTTAAGATGTTTTTTATTTTTATTTCTTCATTTTAGATTTTGTATACTATGTTTCAAAAAAGGCTTCAAAGAAAAATTATTTAAACTAATAATATAAATATATATATTTATATTTTTTTTAGCTATTTAGAATTTTTAACTTTTGAAAAAATGAAGACTAAAAAATGCAACTACTAGTCACCAGTTGGCAACAAAATTTCCTAATTTTGCTCTATACAGGGAGTAATATATAAAGTCATTTTTAATAGATATCAATATTTAACAGTTATAGAAAAAGTCCTTATAAACTGGCATATGAAAAGAACTAGTTAACCTTGAGTACAAAGGAAAAAAAAAACTAAATAATTCAAATAAATTTAAAAAGTGATTAATTCCAATAGTAAGAAAAAATTACAAAACTATACAAACTTGTTCTAGTTTCCGTTTTAAAGCTTGTATCTCTTTTGGATTTGAATAAGTAATATCTAATCCTGGAGAGAGGGCATAAAAGAAAATGACATCATTTTCTTCAGCAGCCTGCACCAGAGAAGTTAAATGTTCTGAAAACAAGACAAGAAACATAAGATGGTAAATTAGGATGCTTGTAAGGAAGTCTATTTTTATGATACGCAGTAAAATTATTTACTCTGACAACACTTTATCACTTTATTTCAGTAAATTCTAATTTTCGAAGGGAAAAAAATGTTTTCCACCGTTATCATAGCTAGTAGCAAAGAGGCAAAATTATATCCACAACTAAACTTTTGCTAAAAATCTCCATAAAATGGGGCTCAAAACTATTATATTAACTTAGATACATAATGTTTCATAGAAATGGGGAGCTTAATAGTTCTACTCAAAACATTATTCTGTAAGGACTCTGATTGCTTTTGAGGGGCTAGTAGAGGTAGCAATTAATAAATCTTCCAGATTTAAATAAGAGAATAATTCTTTAAACTCGTCTAGCTGTTTAGGACACTGATAAAAAAAAAGTAAAAGGAACCTTTAAATTTAAGAAACAAGAAAAAAAAATCTTAACATCACATAATTACATTGTTTTTGTTGATAATTATAAGTATCAACAGTTATTAATAATTTTCTTAAATTCAAGCATCCAGGCTGAAAAATTTATATTTCTGTTTCTCCCAACCTGAAAACTATATTACCTTAAAGAGTTTTTCTTATAAAGAACTTACATATTAACCTTTTTAAAAGAACAATGATCTTGCTTATATAACTACAACATATCAAGTCTCTACATAGAGATGTAAAATTCTCTAATATTCTTCTTAAAGAATATTCTCTAAGAGGCTACCTACCATGAGGATAAACCTTAACTATTTCATTTAATATTTTATTAAATTTTTTTATTATTTTATATAATTTTAAAAAAATATTCATGATTCTATATATGAAAATAAAAATAAAACTAAGAAAGACATAGTAAACTGAATGACACTGAATAAAAACCTTAAAATTGAGACTCTAGAACAATTTTAAGTGCACATAATTGTTCTTAATTATATAGAGCAATTCAGTACCAAATTATTTTAAAAACTTATTATTCACATTATAAAAAAGATCCTATTTTTTAATTATAAATATCTTTTTAATTATAAATTTTTTAATAAATTTAGATAGATTTTTTAAATATTTTTAATTAATAATAGATGATTAATACCTATGAAGAATTTTCCCTGTTAGTTAGTAACATTAATCATAATTACTAATTTTCTTATGCAATTTTTATTCTAAATGGAATTAGATTGAATAAAAGCTTTAACTAACAATTCTGTGTGTCCAAAACTTTTCTTATAAAATTGTTGCTAAGAGTTTTAAATAATTAATATCAAGAATAATTATAGATGATAAGAATAATATCAGTATAAGAATAAAGATTCTCAGTAATTTTTGCACATTTTGCATTCTAGATGAAGATATATTTTGCTTGCATGTTTTAAAAATTCATTATTTGTTGATTATAATGAAATAATATTACATCTAACAAGCTGACCATTAGTATGGCTGTTAATATTTATTGAAATTAACAAAAGCTAGTAAAAATTTTATTATCAGCTCGACTTGTGAAGAATAAGGACAAGCTGAATATCAGAACGAGGAGAGTTTTTCTGAAGGAAAAAAAAAAAAGGTAAATATCTTTTAAAGTCTGCTGAAAATATTAATCCAATAGTTTGGTGTAAAGGAATATGTATTAGGGACAAGTTGGCCAAACTTGCACTGATAGTACTAGTAGTAATAATGTCTTCAACAACAGCAACAGAGAAATTACTTATGGTTCACCACATTGGGTGGAAAAAAAAATCAATTGACATTCGAAAGAAATAAAAAGTTAGCATTTGTAGTCTATAATATTAAACTATTAAGTTATGGAACAATAATAGCTTGGCTGAGTTTGCAAGCGCATCTGATTCTCATGCAAAATATGCTTATATGTCAACTAAGGATACGTATAACGTGAATATAAGAGATATTTTCCGGAATTTTTTTAACGATATTTAATACAAAATTAACTTAATTTGCCACTTCAAGAAAAATTTTCTGCACTCAATGCTTTTCAAGAAATATTCACTTGCACGAATATGTTTTTCAAGAAAAAATTCATGCACTGAAAATAAAATCCATATTTGAAGAGAAATCAGGCACAAAATTTTTGTTTTTAAAATGCCTTATCCAAGAGTGGCAGAAGGAGCTTTTATGGATTGTGTGCACTTTTCATTGTGAGTCAAGATTTTTAATTTAGTTTGAAATGAAACTAATGGAACGGGAATAAATTTATAAGACGATGAAAAGGACAAGTATCAGCCTCGTTCACCACTACTCCAAGAATTAGCAATATAAAACCTCACCTGAGATCTTTTTATTTTGCCAACTTTGGATGGTTTAAATAAGTTTTTGATATCAAAAAGTCAAATATTGTTTACTTTGAAATAATATTTAGGAAATAAAATAGAAAAAAAAAAAAAACTACATACCAGCTTCTTCAACAGAATACATCTCTCTCCAATATGCACGATGCTTGAAATCATCTTTTGGTGCATACATGTAAGTGTTTAAGCCTAGCTTTTTCATTCTACAAAACATCAACGCATGAATTAAAATTCAATATCATAAATAAATATTTTTCAAATATTTGTCAAAACGGAAATAAAATGGAATGCAGATAATGTACGTGAATGCGTCATAATGTAATTTCAGAAGAGAAAACCTAACAATCAATTGGTATTCAGGGGTCTGTTTAGAAGAAATTTGGGTCCGTTAACGGACCCTTCACAAAATATCTTTTCATAAAAACGGACCCTTCACAAAATATCTTTTCATAAAAACGGACCCTTCACAAAATATTTTAACTTAAAAACGGACCCTTCACAAAATATTTTAACTTAAAAACGGACCCTTCACAAAATGATTTTTCTTTTAATCGGACCCTTCACAAATTTGTTTATCTTCATTATTATTTTGTTAATCGAATAAACCCTTTCCAGGGCAGAAAACAAGAAAGATGGATGTAAACGAATTAAGTTTTGTCTTCGGCAGACG